CCACAAGTTCCAAAACGGAAGGACCATGACGGTTTCTATTGAAACTTTACGTAGAACTTGCAGGAATGAAGTTGTAAACGTTTCGAGCTGTCAAAGATGATATAGCGAAGCTTGGTATGGTAATTAAACTGAGAAACATTAGCAACAATCTCCCCGTTTTGATGAGTCTCAAATGTATGTCAAAAAGTTTATGAATAGAATATGAGAAATCTTATTCAAATACAGGATATGAGAAATATTATTCAAATTTGAATCTTATTTCTTTATGAACAAGATCTTTAAGAGATCTCGGAAAGTAATGAAAAAATCTGAATTCATTTATGTCTCCCCATAATAATTCCTTCCGCTTGTCTGCTCGATGACATTACTTCCCGCCCCGAAAGCAACTTCTTCGATATCGGGAGCTTATCTCCTTCTCTTCGTAGAACTCCCGATGATAAACCCTCGCAAGTGTTTCTAACTTTCCTCTGTTCGGCCTAAGGTGTTTGTGTATAGAAAACCACTGTTGAAAACTCGTATTCTGTTACGCTTCTCATTGATTCCGGCGATTCAACCTGTCTGAAAAGCATTGCTATGTATTCTGTTCGCGTATTCAAGTTTTGGTAGACTGGTTGTAAAATCTGATAATGTTCCTGGCGCATTCCGGACCTATCACGTTTTTACTCGGTCTAGTTAGCGGCGGATACTTGGACGCCGATAAGATTCGACAGCTGATGAGGGTAAATGCTTACATGAAGCTCTGCTCGTTACTGTATATGACGTGTATTCAAAACTGTTGTTGAAATATATAAAAATTGTAATTACATAAACAGATTTCCATATCCATCAAAAATCGAATTTAATTAAAAAAGATCGAAAAATCACATAATCTAAAGTGTAGTTTGTCATAACACAGTACTAATTCGGGAGAATAAGTTAAAATAATAATTAAAAGCGAGTGCGTCGAGCCTTGAAGATTGAAATGAATGTGCAATTAAATATTTGCAAGAGGAATCATTGTTTATAAATTTCATGAAAGTTAACGAGTACTAAAAGCGGGAGAGGACTTTGCTAGTATAAATTGTATTTGCTGCGGCTTATCAATCACTGTACTGTGGCTCTATACAATCACTGTATAATAATTATTCAAAGCATAAACTTTAAATTACGATAATTAATATTGAAGTTAACGTTTGTTGGAGTACACTTTCTGAGTAATGGTCTACCTCTAAGAGTGCAATATATTTGAAATCGAAGTTTCAAAATTATCGATCTCCAGTTCAAAGGAACTTTGTTTAGCATTTAATACATATAACATTTGTTTTTCTTCACGAACCGTCAAGTTTGTTTAAGCTGCTGCATGTTAAACGCAGGCGCAAAAGATACATTTTTCAACGTTCTCTTCTAACATTTCGTCTAGATGTAGAATTCTGCTGGATAACACAGACAAAAGTGATATCCCGCACGTTTCGAGCAATGTAAATAGCGAGCGAAACGTGACCAGTAACAGCGTACATCGCAATAAGCTTACACCCTTTAGCTAAGCGCTTCAGCGCGAAGCTTACCTTCCGTGTGTCCTTATTATCTTCTGTCTGTTGCAAACCTGTGCTTTATATGAGATTAAATTAAATTATATATATACATATATATATAATTTAGTTTTCCACACATACACACAACAGCCAGATACTTATAGCCTCAAAATAAAATTAGGATCTTGCGCTACAAAGAGGACACACACGAGAAAGAGGTCGCTCAAGCATTGTGTAAGTATAAATTTGGTTTGGGCAGAACACGTGTTGCGGAAGTGACGCGCTTTTTTGCTGCCACGTTGCCAGATTCTTATTCGCAAGCGAATAACCCTCCTTGCAGTCTGGCAACAACGTATATTTGAAAGCGCGACGATGCGAGGCGACACGATGCTCGTATCACGCGCGATAATGTAACTTTCCGGCTCCAGCAGGAATTTTGATGAAATTCTAACATATTAACGAAGAATACGTGCATTTATAAATATCGATTAATTCTTCCTCTTTGCTTACGCTGCAGCTTTTCCGTATGGGTGTTAATTATCCATGCTGATATTCTCGCACTCGACTCCCGACCTTTCGTTTGCAGTTCACAAGCTGTTTGTGTACCGTGTTCGCACAGATACATCCCGGCTAATTACGAAAGAGGGGAGAAACAATCCGGTCGGAGTTACCCGATGCGGCCGTCGTGCTCGTGCGAATCGATACCGGAGCTTTAAGGGGGGAAATCCAATTATTTATATAATAGAACGAGGAAAAATAAGCTATTTTCAAGAATTTTTTTGTAGGAGAAAGAATTTTTCTATATTTTTCAAACTTAAACATTTATTTATATATGTTTTGGACTGTCCATACGTATTTTTTTTTCCAAAAATATTTAAAAATGGCGGACATATGAAGCATCCCATTTGGCAGGTACGCGTGCGAGTTGCTCAGCTGCTGGACAAATGGCGTCCGTGATATTGATCCTATAACAGGCAGCGAAAAAATTCTTATTATTTATACCCATAATTCGTAATTGAACCTAAAAAAATTGAAAAAAGTCAAAAATTTTGAATATGAAACGCTTATGAAAATAAATTTCCATTTTTTGACGTTTTCTCTGCACAATTTTTGCAATAAATAAGTGATTTTTTATTAT